CCTCCTCCTCCTCCTCCTCCTCCTCCTCCTCCTCCTCCTCCTCCCCCTCCTCCGATGTTTCGCGTCGGTCGTGCGTGACGCTCAACCAGCGACTGAGCAAGGGCCGCTCCAGAGGTGCTCGCATGAATAAACTTCGCAGGCACGCTTCTCTTGCCAAGGAGTCCCAAAGTCTGTGGCTGCAGGGGGCGTTGCCCCAGTCGGTGTATGGGCACCAGGCAATGGGGCTTTCCTCCTCCTCCATCCTCCAGTTGCGGAGGCAGGCGGCCCAAACTGTCGCGGGCAAGGGCCCAGGGCGCTGCCTCACCACCACTCTGGCGATTTGGTTTGGGGACAAGGACCCTGGAATCAGTTTGCGGACCCAGCTGGTCCGCTCCTGGCTCGACCTCTGGGACAAGTGCCCCTCCCTCCACCCTCGTATCGTGAAAGCTTGGCCATCGGTGGCCGCGCGTCTTGGGCACGACCCCAAGTTTAGGTGGCGGAAAGTCCGACGGCCTATTGGGGCCATCATCGCCACCCTGAGAGACGGAGGTTGGAGGCCCATCTCTCCCACCGAATGGCGCAGGCCCATCGGGGCCGATACGTTTGAAACCTGGCAGTTTCCTGGCATCGCGGCCGATCGAGTTGCTGGAGATTTCGACATTGCTGAATTAGTTAGCGATTTTGCTGAGGACCTCAAAGCTCAGCTGTGACAGCAGGCGGCTAAACACGAGCACGGGGACGATCTCGTCTCAGGTGCCGACGTGACGGCCATTCGTTCTCAGCTCCAGCGTTTCCTGAAACGTGATGAATTCGATCAGATCGGTCAGATGGTCACAGTTGCCTCTGGAGGCCAGTGGCCTCATCAGAGGCAGCGAGGTCGAGGCTATCTTGTTTCCTTGAAATGTCCGCGTTGCGGGGCCCCAGAGGAGACCCTTTTCCACAATATTTGGGAATGCCCCTGCAACAAGGATGACCCCGCTTATGAAACATCCGAGTTTTTAGTTGCTCAGGCCCGCGCAGGCCACGAGGCTAACCCGAGTCTCTGGCTGCGCGGGCTCCCGCCTCGCTCATTCACGTGTCCTGACTTTCGTGACGGGGGGGAGGACGTGGAGTGGGGGGTGGATGGAGAGCACTAGGGCGTCCTCGACTGTAGAGAGGAGGGCATGCTGCTCGTGTTCGGCGACGGCTCGGGAGGGCAATTTAGCAGCGACCCTCGTCGCCGAAGGGTGGGCGCGGCTGCGATTACGCTGGCGCCAGCCTCTGGAGGCTGGACTCGGGCCCGCGGCTTTGCCTCGACCCTTGGAGGTCGCCACCAAACGGTGCCCAGAGCCGAGATCCGCGCGTTTGAGCTTGCGCTTCGCCGATTTCCAGGCCCGTTGCGTTTTGTCACGGACAACGCTGCCCTCCATCGAGGGTGGCACTCCAGAAGGCATGAACTTTGTAAAGGCCCCAACTCTGACCTCTGGTTCCGCGTCCGTGCCGCCCTCGCTGAGAGGGGAGAGGGTGAAGTCCAGGTGGTGTGGTACCCGTCGCACGTTGACCCTGAGGACCCCGCCCTCTCCCCTCAGGAGCGGTTGTTCGCCACGGGCAATGGGTTTGCCGACATTCTCGCTGGAGAAGCGGCCAAGTTTTCCTGGACCCACGGCCTCCAGGGCCAAAGGCCCCCCGACACGGATCTCTGGGATTGCACGGCGTCGCTGGTTAGGCGACGAGCGGCGAAGGCTATGGTGGACTCCATCAATGTGGCCCCGTGGTCCGCCGAGCGGCCTCCCAAGGCCCATCGGGTTGTTGGCCTCCCTGAGGCCCTTCTTAAGAGCGAGCACTGTTTGGTCAGGACCGAACGTAAATGGCTGTGCTCGCTGTGTCACCAAGTAGCCCCCGTGCATGATGTTGCCGCCTTTGCGGCGACGCAGTGTCAAGCGGCGAGCCCTGACCTGTCAGGTCTCGCCGATCATGGGGTGGTGCGGGCTGGTGGGGCGGTGACTGTTGGGGGGAAGGTCTGTCACTCCTCACACAATTTGCATTTCTGGCCCAAGTTTGGGCTACGTTTTTGTTTGACGTGTGGTAAAGCGGCCACGGAGGACCCACGTCATTTAGTTGCCGAATGCAAAGACAGCACCAAGAAAGGTCTTGAGAACCTTCAACGAATTCAAAAGGAACTTTTTCCCAGCCACGCGGGGCCGTCGAAGACGTCCCAGGCACGTGAGCTGGGCATTGTCAGGCGCGAGGCTGCCCTCCGAGGCCCGCCGCCTGTTGCTCGCTGAACTCGCTGCCACCCCGTGGATATCAGCGAATTCCAGCGAATTCCTCCTCCGATGTTTCGCTCCTCCCCCTCATCCTCCTCCGACGTATCGCTCCTCCTCCTCCTCCTCCTCCTCCTCCTCCTCCTCCTCCTCCTCCTCCTCCTCCTCCTCCTCCTCCTCCTCCTCCCTCCCCTCCTCCCTCTCCCCTCCTCCTCCTCCTCCTCCTCCTCCTCCTCGCTCCTCCTCCTCCCTCCTCCTCCTCCTCCTTCCCTCCTCCGATGTTTCGCTCCTCCTCCTCCTCCTCCTCCTCCTCCTCCTCCTCCTCCTCCTCCTTCCTCCCTTCTCCTCCTCCTCCTCCTCCTTCTCCTCCTCCTCCTCCTCCTCCTCCTCCCCTCCGATGTTTCGCTCCTCCTCCTCCTCCGATGTTTCGCTCCTCCGATTTTCGCTCCTCCCCTCCTCCTTCTCCTCCTCCTCCTCCTCCTCCTCCTCCTTCTCCTCTTCCGATGTTTCGCTCCTCCTCCTCCTCCTCCTCCTCCTCCTCCGATGTTTCGCTCCTCCCCTCCTCCTCCTAATCCGATGTTTCGCTCCTCCTTCTCCTCCTCCTCCTTCTCATCCGAATGTTTGCTCTCGCCACAGTGCGCTGTCGAAGGCTTGTCGGGGGACGGCCCCAGAAGGCGGATCAGCGGCCTGAACGCCGAGCGCCACGGCATCTCCACAAACAGGAACGTGAACACGCTCAGGGCAGCAGCGAGGAACACCGTGGTGCAGAAAAGCTGCAGGAACCCAAGCAGGGAGAAGTCGGCTGTCCCGCGCGTCGCGTACCCGACCAGAAAATGAAGGACGAATATGTTGCTCAAGTTCATCCCGAACGCCACCCTGCTCCAGATCACCAGCGTTGCATTTAGACCGCAACGCATGTCCTCCAAAACGTAATCGTTTTGATATTTTCGGCCGGCATCGACCGGGGATGACGGGATGCCTAGAGGAAGAAAACGGCATCAACAATAACTTTCGACGGTCCGAGCGAATTTCTTGGAGCTGCGCTGGACCCCCCTGGTGCGCGGAGCGCGCCAGGGGCGGCGCCAGAGGCGCCGCCAGGGGAGTCCAGCGCAGATCCAAGAAATCCGAGCGGAGTATCGAAAGGTTATGCTTATGCAAATTGTTCTTCTTCGAATGTCCCTGCGTCGCCCCCTGGAGTCGTGTTTGACCCCCCCATCGCCATCGCTGTCTGCGCTCTGAAAGACGTTCACTCCATTGCGAATTCGATCTGTCTCAAGAAGATTGCGAATCAAATGCCACAGTCCGAACGTTGCGGGGAAATCAAGAGCGAAGTCCAACAATACCGCCTCGCCAAACAAGTAACGATCTCTGAGGGCGCTGTTCACGTAAGAACCGACTTTGCTGAGGACTACAAAGAAGCCGCTGCAATATCCACCACCAACGTGCAAAGAATACTCGGCAAAAAGGGGATACTTCCCAACGACGAAGACACTAAAGTCAATGATGAGAACGAGAGCGCCAGCAACAGATGCCCAAACGCAACTTGGTGTGAACAACACAGACCGCCAACTCAGAACTGCTCGCTGCGGCGCGAACCCTGGAGGTGGACGCAACATGTCGAACATCAATATTAGCAAGGGCACGCACAACAAATCCGCCGACCCTGTCGGCGTGTGGAATGGGTTGTTCTTCTCGTCCGTGCCTCCTTCCCTTTCCCACCTTCTCCGTCTCCTCCCCCTCCTCCTCCTCCTCCTCCTCCTCCTTCTCCTCCTCCTCTTCCTCCTCCTCCTCCTTCATCTCTTCCTCCTGCGTAGAGTAAATTGACTCGAAGGGTTTCTCCTTCCCTTTGTTCCCTTCCCCGGCCGGGGGGGGGGGGCGGGGGAAGCCCGGGGGGTCCTGGGGGGGGTCCCGGGGGGGTCCTGGGGGGGGGGTCCTGGGTCAGAATACCACCTCCCTCTTCCTCCTCCTCCTCCTCCTGAGCGTCTTTTGCCACCTTCTCCATCTCCTTTTCGTTTGTCTCCGCCTCCTCCTCCTCCTCCTCCTCCTCCTCCCCCTCCTCCTCCTCCTCCTCCTCCTCCTCCTACCACTCTGTCTTGAATGTTTGGTTCTGTATTGCTTGCGGCTACTATGGCCAATCCTAGATAGTCAGTTTAGGTAAGCCGTGTGTAAATAAGATTCCGAAGCACAGGCAAGACTATTTAAATAGAATTGCCACACATAGGCCCCATAAGTGTTTGAGCAAGGCTGAGAAGGCAAAGAGAGGGATCATTTAACTTGTGGGGTGTGGGCGGTCGGTCGGTCGGAGCGGCGAGCGGCGAGCGGCGCGCGCGGCGCGCGCGGCCTGGCCGACAACTTCGGCCAGCAGGACCGCCCAGCCGCACCGCCCCGCCCCCCCCCCCCCCCCTCCAGCCTGTCTCAGTTGTGCTTGGATTCATGCCCTCGGCATCGACTCACTCACTCACTCCTCCTCCTCCTCCTCCCCCTCCCCCCTCCCCTCCTCCTCCCTCCTCCTCCCCCTCCTCCTCCTCCTCCTCCTCCTCCTCCTCCTCCTCCTCCTCCTCCTCCTCCTCCTCCTCACACACTTCCTCCGCCTACCCTGTCACGTTGTCCTTTAGCTCCTTCCTGTGATCACACATCCCGCCGCCATCGACGGCCAAAAACTTCAGGGTCGGCGGCACTGGCCGTAAGGCCTTCACAATAAGGAAGTGTGCGAGCAGACCTCTCTAAAGCCGGATCCTCTGACCAACGGACACGCTCGCTGGACGTGTTGAACCGCATCACTTCTGCACACTGACAGCACAGCATGCCTATTAGAACCGTGAGCTGTGCCCACCAGAAGGACGTCTTGGAACCAGACATCGTATACCCGAACTTATGCAGTAGATTACCTGCAAGGACGAGCGCCGCACAACACATCGTGACCTGAAACTCGGCCTCGAAGATTGCAGTGTTGTGGCAAACCGACTCCGCATGAAATTTGCCCGAGTGCAGGCTGTGAACGAAGAAACTTGAGGACAACCACCTGTATGATCTTCCACAGACCTTCGGCCGATGATCGTACCACACTCCTGTAGTCGACATGGGTCGAAAAGGGACGGTGCCAGGATAACCTACTACGCGGATGACGCACCAACAATAAAATAGCATCAACGGGGTCTGCCGGGACCATCTCAGTAATGCCTGGCGCACGAAAGCCGTCAACGCCTCTGTCACTGCCTCAAATCGGGGCTGGTGTTGATACTTACCACCAGCACGCGTAGAGGGCTTGTCTCTGTGAATACTCTCCAGCATGAGGCAGGATGATAAGGCTGTGAACAGGGTGTTCACACGGTGCAAGCAATGGGCAAGTCCATAGATCCACCAGTGTCCGCGCTCAAGAAATGGACCCCATGCGTCACTACACTCCCACTGGAAAGCCTCCGCAGTATGCAGAAAAATAACTGCCAAGCACATGCAAACCCGCAAACGGCATACTCCCAAATTCATATCACTGCCAGGTGCAATGAATGCGTTCCATGCCTCCTGTAACGAAAACGGTCTGAGGACCCACTTCTGTGCAACATCCCCTAGAACAGCCAGCCCGCATCCGGCTCGCGCTCGGGGGGCCGAAGTCAAAGTGGCCCGACAGCCTACAGTATTCCGCCACAGCGACAACGAAAGCCTGCGGAGAAGCAGGCAAGCTGTACACAGAACAGGAATGCCAACCCATAAAATAAGAAACTCTGGTAACTGATGTGGCTGCCAAGATATCTCGTCTTTGTACTCCGTGACCTTCAGCTCGTGCAGGTCGGCCAATCGATCTCGAATCTCCTGGTCGTTCTCCCGCAGAAACGACACAAGATCGGCTGTGTCCCGCGTGGGAAAATAGTGTCTCCACGGTCGTTCACAACCCCGCAGTACTATCTGTTCTTGGTCCGTCGGTCTTCGAACGTACGTATTCGGGAATCTCTGCAGCATGCCCATGTCCCTCATCTGCTTAAAGCAGCCAATGCGCCGATCCTCCAAGCTCATCATCCACACGACGACCAGGGTGTCCAAAGCGAGGATGTGCTTGTTCAGGTCGCAGGCCTGCGGAACGCAAAAGCCAATGTGCATCTGGTTCGTGACAACCCAGAAGTAGCGGAACCCAAAAGAGAAACATCCCTGCGGATCTCCTAGTCGTTCCGTCGAGGTGAGCACCACCGAGGGACTGGAATGACGCATGTAGCTTACGTAGTCCTCTTGGAATGCTCGTAGACAACGCAGATTTGTCTCGACCACTACCTCCGCGTCTACGAAGCGCGACTCTAGCACCCTCGGCGAGCTCTCACAAGCAGAACCCTTGGAACGAGCACGCTGCGTTGAGGATCCATTGCTCGGACACGACTGCGAGATCGGTTCTGATTCCCGAAGTTCTGCTTCTCCTTCACAACAGACGGTCCAAGAATACTTGCCCTCCCAACACTGCAGATTGCCTGGAGGTATCACTCGCCCTTCATGGTTCCGACAACAGAGTTCGAACGAAAACCCGCTCAGCCAACACGGATTTCGATGGGGATTGTGAGGCCCATCCCAGGGGAACTTCATGTCATCACCTGTCGAATAACCCATGACGAAATGTCAACTCGCCCTGGAGCCGACATACATGGAGCCAAACGGGTTCGAGCCAAAACATACATACATTATGTTCACTTGTGCAAGAACGTTTCCTCAAATACGGCAAGGCAACATTTGATCGACGGCTTTATCCTGCGGGGTCAAGACCACGATGCGCAGCTATACCATGTTAACAGCACAGCACGTCAGATCGATGGAGCATCGACATATGATGTGACGACGTCAGGCGAATGCCGCAACAACCCAGAGCTGCCGACTGAATCGTGTCCTCGGGGTGGATTTTTGTTTTTTTAGGTGGGCAGCCTGCAGTGGAGGCCACTACAACAAGAAACCTTCCATAAGAAATCCAACCAACCCCGAGACCCCAGGACGTCCCCTGTTTTTCGGTGTGGGAACGTCTCGTTTCCCATGGCGAAGCCATCGAAGCCCAGGAAACCCAGGGCACCCTGGAGGCAAGCAGGGTGCTTCTCGGCATGGGCCCCCGACTGCAGCTCTGGGCAGCGTGTCACCGCTCTCGGAACGCAGAGGGCCTGGAAAATTCGGCAGGGCGACATTCGTCCTGTGTGCCGAGCGCGTGAACAGAAGCTGATGGGCCTGTTTTCCACCACCACCACCACCACCATAAGTTGGAGGGGGTAGGGGGTCCTCCTCCCCCTCTTCTTCTTCTTCCTCCTCGTCCTCC